TTTTTTCTTTTTTTTTTTTTTTTTAATCTTCCCATGCTGTCTTCAGTTAATATTTACCAGTTCTTGTGTTGGAAAAGAGACAGAGAGAGAAGTTGATCCCTATTTATTATCTCTGTGCCATTCATAAATCTCTAGCACATTGCCCCTCAGCCATCTCTTATCCAGACTGAAGAGTCCTACTTAACTTGGACAGTCCGTGATAAAGCCCTTCTAGACTTTTGATCATTCATCTTGTCCTCCTATCTCCAATTCCTCACTATTCACCTTGAGATGGGGAATCAAGATTCAAGATGCAGGTATGCAGTGGTTAATAATTCTATGAAGCATAGTTCATGCTTCATAGTATATGATGATCTCTGCTTTGTTCTTTATTTCTTTCCTAGCAATTTCTAGCAGTGGCTTTGCTTTTTAATGACTAGTAAGCACTGAATGCAAAAAACTGCCTGCCATAACAACAATATTATTAGAAATAATGGTCAGCTCAGAGATCATCATCATGTATGTGAAGTTAAGAATCTAGGTATATGTATAATAAATTTCACCTGTCTTTGTATTGCCTGGCTACTGAGTATTGGAAAGCCTTTAGTGTCAGCCCTTCCTCTTTTCTTCCTTGAACAACTCAGTATCATAAATAGATTTGGTGGGCTGATTATTCATACTCTTTATAAAACATTTATTATTACACTGACCTAAAAGTTGTCCAGCATAAATCTCTGTGGAACAGGAAATCTCAGTGACTTCCTTTCTTTGTAGAATAGGCAATCTACAGAAGAGACCCTATTTCCTGTCTTTTGAGCAATTTGTGCAAGGACCTTTCATCTTCTCTCATGACTGCATAGTGCTCTCATTACTTCAGTGCTGCTACTGAGACACCTCATTGAAAGCATTTTAAAATCTAAGTAGGTTTCTCTATCAACTGAATATCTCATTTTAACGTTCTTAATTAAGTAAAAATAATGTTCTGAAAACCTCAGAGTCAAATATAGAAGACTTAGAGCTTGTAAAATCTAATTTTAGAAAAAAGATAAATTCCCTTAGCCACTAATTGCAATTCCTTTCAACATATTCTGATTTTTTTTAATTATGTAATTTAACAATAATTGTGATATAGTTGTTATATTTAATAGTTGTTATATTTGATAGTTGTTATATTTAATAATAAGCTCAAGTATGAAATGAAACTCGCTCAGAGATGCTCTGTTTGCCAGGGATGTTTTTGGGGGTGAGCATCTGAAGTTTCTTGTTAGAAAATATTGAATTCTCCAATAATAGCTTTGCATACGGAAATTTATGAGAGACATGTCAAAGATAAATCTTACTGTAAGGATCAAATACATTTCACTATAATGGCCTTTGCTTCTTATTTAGGTCAACACTATATTTCTCTCTTAGTTATTATAGCAAGTGTGAATGACTCCTGACCTCTGTAGCATTGCAGTATAATACCCAAGATTAATGCTACCATGAAATTTTAGAAGGAGTAGCTGAGGGAACTGGCTTTTTTTCAGCCTGGAGAAAAGAAGGCTGAGGGAAGACCTTACCAGTCTCTACTGCAAAGGAGGGTGTTAGTCTCTTGTCCCAAGCAACAAGTCACACAATAAGAGGAAACAGCCTCAAGTTGTGCCAGGGGAGGTTTAGATTGGATATTAGGAAAAAAATTCTTCAGGAATTAGGAAAAAAAATGTCATGCATTGGAACAGGCTGCCAAAGTAAGTGGTTGATTCACCATTCCTGGATGTATTTTAATGACTGGTAAATGTGGTGCTTGGGAAGAGGTTTAGTGATGGATTGACAGTGTGCCAGGTTAATGGTTGGACTTGATGACTTTAAAGGTCTTTTCCAACAAATATAATTCTATGGTTCTATGAAGGAGTCTACAAGCAGTAGTTTAATATGAAGGGCTGCATAAACATGCTGTTGTATTCATAACCTGACTGGCCTGCATTATGTACATGGCGTATACTAATTTTTATCTGCTTGGCATGAAAAGGCATCAGAAAGATTGTGTTACCACTGCAATGAAAAAAAAAACAAACAAATCACAAACCCCAAAAGTACATGGCTCTTACTCAGAAGATATTACCGTCTACTTAAAGAAAATGACAGTCTTCAACAAATAATAATGAGGGACAAATAAACAGCAATTACAAAACAACTGTTCCATATGCTAAAAAGTGTATCCAGCCTGCTGATTTTGAGTCACTGAAAAGGTAGTATCTACTCTGAGTTCTCCATCATCTTGCAGTAATGTTTCATAAGATTTATCCCTGAAGAACAAGTTCTGTTAGGTGCTACCAAGCACCTCTGCTTGACTAGTAGTTTGAAGATGGGCTTCAGCCCAGCATTGCCCTGTAAGAATCCTTATTTCATCGATCAGCCCATGTATTTGGAATGTATTATGTCCAAGATACGATAACCAATAGATTGTCATTGGAAGACAATTTATTTATTTTTAATTTTATTTTCAGAATAGGCATCTATGGAGAGACATCACAGTATCATTGAATTTCATGGCCTCCATCTCCTGCTTCTTTTTCCCTCCACATCTTGATTTATTTACTTCAAGAAAAATATTTTTTTAAAAAGTGAATTAAACTTAAAGGGCTTATATACTTAAATGAACCCCCCTAAGTCATCTTCAACAGAAAATACTTGTATGAATATGATAATTTCCACACTGAAGTGATAACTTCACTCCATTAGCAGTGTTCTCCTTATTGAGAAGATAAACTCAGTATCTCCAAGAGCTTCCAGATGAAGTCTGGTAAATATTATTTATTAAATTAGATAAGGCACCTGTGATTTGATCCTAGATGGAATCCAGGCTTGGAGAACTCTGACTTCTAGATAAATACTAATTTTGTGCATGATTGTGAAACTTAACTAATGTAGGAAAATGAAATTTTGCAAACTTTGACAAAGTGAACTGACAAATGAAATTTTTCTTTGCTTCAAATGTGACTTGTTTTATTATTTTAAGACACTGGGAGCAAACAGCAATGTAAAAAAAATATAATTTTAAAAAAATGCAGTCTTCTAAAAAGTGAGAGTCAAAATTGACAATTTTCTGAATGTTTCCAAGTTCAGTATTTATCCTGGAAGAATGTAAGTAAGTTTGTCATGTACATATATTTACTTGTTTATTGATTCAGTTCTGAAAAAGCATCTGAGTAGAATTTAGCACTAACTCTCTGTCCTCTTCTGTACTCTGCCATTCTTTAATTTCTTCCCTTTCTCATCAACTCTTGCCTTTATAAAAGTAGCATAACCATTCAGTTTCATCACTTCAGTTACAGCAGCTAGGTTTCTGTGTCTACATTTTTGTTGTAATCATCTTTGGTAAGATGCATGTTCATTTCTGCTGATAGGCCATTACTTAACTGGCCTATTAATTAGAAATGTGTTAAAAACACATCTGGATGTCAAAAATACACATATTTTTGTTCCTCACCTCTGAATGCATGTCTGCAATATCTTTTCCTTACAAAGCAAGTGCCTTTTCTGAAAGACTGTGAACTTCTTCTATTTAAACAGTTCTGTCAAAAATATTTGACTTGCCTGTTTTTCAATGTCTACTTTCCACATGGAAACACATGATTTCTATACCAGTTGGTGCTATACTTCTTACATACATTGGTGAATTCAGGGGATACTTGAATTTCTATGTGTGAAGTCAGGGAGTCAGGAAGTATATTTAATTGAGTTTTTAAATTAGTCTTAAAAACAAATTTTGTATCAGTCTCATGGTACAAAAATCTTGATCAAAGGTATTTTTCTTGCAAAATAACATATTCTTAAAGCAAGATTCTGTAAAATGTCATTGAATATCTTAGGTAGGAGAAGGCAACTGGACAAACATTTATCTGCTAGACTGTCAAACTGAAGTGCATGGAAAAATAAAATATATATCACTGATACAGAGCACTGAGGATTTATAAACAATATTTAATTAGTTAATGCCATTTTAAAGGTCTTATTGTATTTTATTAATTTTTTTTAGATCTATGTATGGTACTTAGCAGGGTTTTTTTTAGTATTTGAGTAATAATAGAAACAGATTATCTTGAAAATATTCTTCCATCAACTTTTTTTTGGTCTTACTTTGCCTCATGCCATTTTAACATTATTAACTAAGTATATCTGAGAAAAACTTATATTTCTGTTTTTAGACAGTAGTTGTTTCAATAACAGGTATGCCACCATTGCAAAATGGAGTAGAGAACAACTAGCTTTTAACAAACTTTTTAATCACTATTGCCATGACTTTGGTAAATTGCATGTTTACAAACATTTCAGATTGATCTTATTCTGCTACAGTTCAGCAAAAATATGTAACAACACTCTTTAAAAATATTGTCAGCAATTATCATTAGTATTACTAGTTGTCTCAGGTGTGTATAGTAAATATACTATATTGTATATAGTAAATGGAATAAGCATTCTACTCCGTTGGTTTTAAAATTGATTTGTTTTGCTTCTCTGATGTGAATGGAACTGTGTACTGTCTTTTAGTTTTAGTGTTAGGATAAAACAGAGCAAACCACTTGAGCCCACACTGTTTATGCTTCAGGTTCAATCCAGACAGACTACTGCTGAACACTGAACAGAAAAAAAAACTCTCCCGCCTCCTTTTATGTTTCCCTCAGGATAAGCACTTCTTCCTCCTCCTTTTATGTTTCCCTCAGGATATCTATCAGCTCTGTGCAGCAGTCTGTGTGGGCTTCACTGGCTATATCACAAGAACAACTTTTATTAAATTCTGCTTTAGCACTTGAGCTTCCAGGCGCAGCATGAAAATGAAAGCAGAGGTAGAAATATTGCTTGGTCACGCATTCCAAAAGCTTAGCTCAGTTTTAGTTGAAAGTAAATTTTAAAAACCACCAGGGTTTTTGAACATAAAGGTCCCACCTTTCAAAAATTCCTCTCCCATACATAGTTGCTACATCTAATTCTGTTCCTTTTGGACAAATCAAAATAAAACAAGGAGTGGCTGATGTTCTGCCTGTTCTGTTCTCCAGCAATTTAAAACTGATTCTTAACAGGAATTTTAAACAGAGAGCTGGTATTATATGACCACTATTTTGGTTAGATAAATTATTTTTCCTAACTAATATTGAAGTGCATCTAATTATTGGGATAGTGAGCAGATGGTGCTCTACATAGACCATTCCAGTTCAGCCTGAATTTTGGCTCTATAAAAACAGATGTTTAGGTGAAACTGTAACTCTGAAATTCATCATGAACAGTGTAGCTGATTAAAATCTCTGTACCCGGTCCTGGCTATATTCGAATGTCAGAAAGTATAGATACTTTAGGTGCTTTTATCTAGGTCTGAAGTGTGGTTCCTAAAATATTTCATGCAAGAGAAATCAAGCTAATGGCCCAGTCATTTAATCAGTTGAATTTTGCAGCAACCAAGTATAAAATTAAAATAAGGTAAATTTGAGCATCCTGCTGAGGTCAGGTACTATTTGGGTCAAGTTCAAGTTTCAGCACAATTATTGTTAATTTTTATTTCAGGTAATTCAGACTATCACTGCAACTGACAAAGATAATGCTGCAAATGGGGCAAGATTCCATTTTTCCCTTGATGAAGAGCTTTCTTTGAATCCCAACTTTACTCTAAGGGACAATGAAGGTAAATCAAACACTTACATCTCAAATAAATCATCTTGTGTTTTGTCTGCATCGTCTCATTGAACAGAAGTTCCCATGCATTTCATGACAGAAGGGGAAAATTGTAATCTTTCACGACTGAACTGGATGATATCAAGGACATGGCTTGCAAAATACTGCAAACTATGAATAATCAGATATGGAATATTTTTTTCTATTTCATTTTGGTTTAGCATTTATATTTCATACATTCAGGAATGTTTTTATAAAGTGATTAATAAAAAAGATGTCAGCAATTCTGTCTATTTCTAGGTGAATAGAACAGAGTGGATACTGTCACGGTTATGGCTAGTTATTGATTAAAGAGGAAAATAAGAATGTAAGGGGCATAAAAACTGAATTTGTGCTTACCTTTACAGATATGACACTAAGAGCAGGTTATTCAGTGTTTCCTGAATTTTAAGTCTATTGTTTCACACCTTTCTTAACAAAGTGTGCCTAAAAATCACAATTGGAAAATCAGTATCAAAGAAGCCCTGAAGAAAAAAGACCTTCAGATACATCCAGCCGAGTGTTTCTGAACATTTCTGGGATCCAAGAACCATTCAGGCTTTCCAATAAAACCAAATATCAGCCTTATTATTCTTTGAGTATTACCTAATGGTTTCCATTTTGATACCTGATGAAAATTAAATTAAAATGTCAATGCTTGTCAGTAGCTTTCCTCTTGAGCTTTTGTGTATGTCTGTATTGCAAGATGTTGTTTATATGCATGTGTGGAAGTGTGTAGGGACTAGCTTTATTTTGCAGTTATATTTTTGCTGTAGTGCCATGGAATACTTTCTGAGATCTTATGGATCACTACTCATAATGACTGAGAAGCATTAAATGCATCATTGGTACATATGGCAGACAAAGGGATGTGTAGACTATTCTTTACAGATATTTTTTAGCTGTTTTTAAAACCTTTCAGGGAAGGAATCATAGAATGTCTCAGGTTGGACAAGCACACTAAAGGTCATCTAGCCCAACCCCCCTACAATAAGTAGGGACATCTCACACTAGAACTGATTGCTCAGAGCCCCATTAATCCTCACCTTGAATGCCTCTAGGGATGGGGCCTCCACCACCTCTCTAGGCAACCTGTTCCAGCAACCCACCACCTTCATATTAAAGAATGTTTTTGTAATTTCCAGTGTAAATCTACCCTTTCCTAGTTTAAAACCATTTCCCCTTGTCCTATTGTTATATGCCCTAGTGAACAGGACATGCCCTAGTGAATAGGAGACTACATAATCTTCCTAAAGAATTTATTCCAATGTTTAACTATACTTATTTGGGGGGGGGGGAGAAAAAAAAAAGAAAAAAAAGAAAAAGTGCCAGGTATAAAAGGACCTGGGGGGATTGACTGACAGCTAGCTGAATGTAAGCCAGCATGTGCCCAGGTGGCCAAGAAGGCCAACAGCATCCTGGCTGTTGTGGCTGGCAGAACTAGGGAAGTGATTGTCCCCATGTACTCTACCCTGGTGAGGCTGCAACTCAAATCCTGTGCTCAGTTTTGGGCCCCCCACTACAAGAAGAATACTGGAGTTCTGGAGTGAGTCCAAAGAAGGGCAATGAAGTTGGTGAAGAGTCTAGAGCACAGATCTTATGAGAAACAGCTGAGGGATCTTGGTTTGTTTAGTCTGGAGAAAAGGAGGCTGAGAGCAGACCCTATCACTCCCTACAACTACTGCAGAGGAAGTTGTAGCGAGGTAGGGATTGAACTCTTCTCCCAAGTGAGAAGTGATAGAAGAAGAGGAAATGGCCTCAAGTTGTGCCATGGAAGGTCTAGGTTGGATGTTAGGAAAAAAATCTGGATTGAAAAGGTGATCAGGTACTGGAACAGACTTCCAGGGAAGTGGTTGAGTTAACATCCCTGGAGGTATTTAAAAGACTTGTAGATATGGTGCTTAGGGATGTGGTTTAGAGGTGTACTTGGCAGTGCTAGGTTAACTGTTGGACTTGATGATTTTAAAGGTCTCTTCCAACCAAACCCATTCTATGATTTGATCATATATAAAAAATATTCCTTAAGTGATGACTCCAGCTCTTTCTCAGATTAATGTATTAGTTCTACTCATATGGTAATTGGTCTTTATAGCAAAAGCCACAGTATTGTTCCCAAAATAAAGGAAGTGTGCTGTTGTGTATTTTTGCATTTGAGTATAAGGTTCAAATAAATTCTTTGAATACTGGACTGTGATCTCATGTGGTAGACCATGGCCATGTTTATTTTATTACAAGAAACTTACATCAAGATGTGCTTTGAATGGTTGTTCCTTAACTATTAGAGTAGGTATTTTTTGTTTCTTTCAGATATTTTTAATTAGGATCTGTATTGAATGTGTTTATTACCAGTGAAAAATGCTGTTCTACCTTTAGGACTGCAGGTTGACATGTTATTTACCTACAAAGATTTATAAGGGGGTAAGAACTTACCATAAATCTCTAATGAGGCAGTATCATGCTTCGGTTATAAGTATACAGCATGAAGTATTTGCTGCTTTCTTGTCACTGCTCCAAAAGAAGTGAGTAATGACTTTACCAACAGCAGAAAGCAGTGTCTGAGCTATGGTAAATTGGATTTGGCAGGGGGAAATAGGGGAAAGAACTGGAGATGATGTCCTTTAAGGTAAAGGCATGTTGTGCATTATGTTTTTATATCACCTAACGAGTTTTAAAAAGTAAGTAAACACTTCCTGAGCATCTTGCATAAAACTTCTACATGTAAAGAGACAGCAGAAATACAATTTCCAATTTGCCCATATAATTAATAGAATGACAGTTTATCTCTAATCATAGCAAGAAATGCGTCTTAAAAACAAAATAATTGTCACTGTTTTGCTTGGCATATGATCCATTGATTGTACTGTTTAAAGAATATGCTTTGCTGGGATATTTTCTTTGTAATATAATTGGTATGTAAAATATAAATGAAACTCATAAAGTGCATTCAGAATACTCAGTCAGCTAGCATTCACAAATTTCATATTTATCACCTGTTCCTATTCAGAAATTGAATTTTTGTTACTTTCTGTTCTAGAAAATAGTTGAGAGATGTCAGGAAGAAGAGGCTTTTCTTGTCTGTGACAAGTTTGCACTTTTGAAAGCTCTTGGCTTTGAGCATTAGCTATTAAAAAGAATCAGAATACTCTTTTTAACATGTGATGGCTGCAATTTTTACCTCTGAATTTAATAATTCCATAAAGGCTATATTTCTTGGGGAGTTTTATTTGTTTGTTATGTTTTTTAAGAAAAAAACCCCACAAACTACATCAGTTGCCTTAAGAGGTTTTGCAGAATGATAAAAATAAAAAACTTGATGTCATATTGAAAGCCATAGTCAGTGGCAACTGTATCTGTCACTGCAAAGGTATTTTTGTTGCAGTCATCTTTGGATCCAGTCATCCTCTCCTTTTATTTCTTCAGGAGAGTTTTGATATTACAAAAACTTCAGTAGACATTTTCTTCCCTTGTTTTCATAACCCTGAACAACATAATTCTGTTCTTTGACTCCAAGTACAGTATTGAATTAATTTTCCCCAACTCTGTTATCATCAGTAGAGCTACAATATCAAAAGACTCTACAACATTAAATTGGATCTTTAAATATTAACACTTACATCTGTGCACTTTGACTGAAATCTAGAGCACTTTCACAAGTATAATATTTCATATTTTGACCCTACCTACATGCATAGGTTGCAACAATACACAGATCCAGCATATGTATGATTCAGGTCAATAATATTCCATGGCTTCAGCAGAGGAAATAGATATTAATGTTTCAGTCCAGGTAATTGCTCGTAGGAACAGTTAAGCTTTTATCTCTTGGTCCTGAACTTGCACCCTTACTCAGTAACAATCCAATGTTAAAGCTGCAGTCTTTGAATATGCATCTTCATAATGCAGAGCTTAAAACCCTCAGAGAAATATAAGTCAGGAAACAGGCACAGGGCTATATGAAATATGCAGTTCAGCAGAATCTAAGAGTTCCTTGAATCACCTTCTGGGTTCCATTGGTGTTTATAGATTTCATTATAAAGAAAATAACATAAATAGAAAAGGCAGAATATATTAGTTCTTTCCTTACTTATCAGATTAAGTTACAGTCAAATGCTTTTTTAATTTAGTGGTGTTTTGAAATTGTAGTTCAGATGCTACCTAACTCTGTTCATCTTTGTCTGTGTTATTGTCACTTTTAGGCAGTTATCATAGAAAATTTTAAAATACTTTTTTCACTTGTGTAAAATGTCTTTAGTTTATATTTATTGCCTAATCAGAAATACCTGCTTTTGATTGCCCCATTTAGACCTGCCAGGGTAATATGAGAGTAAAAATACTTTCTGTTCTGGAATCATGAAACATGAATGAGCCTCTTCAGAGTAGACATGTTTCAAATGACTGAAACTTTAAATTATACCTTTTTTTTTTTCTTTCTCCTGAAACAAACAAAATATTTTTCCAGATGCTTAAGGAATGCTTGATAAATATGTCTAAAATTGTCAGTTTGATGAAAAATACATGAGCAAATGTCATTTTTGTAATATCCCCAACCATTAGCATATAGAGCCACACTTGCATAATCGTTCTCACTTTGTCTGAATTTAAATTCATTCCCTCTTTTTGCCTATTTTTTTTACCTATTAGAGACCTTTTTCAGAAGTTATACCACATTTTTCAGGGAGTTGGGAAAAGATTGAAGCTCTAGAGGACAGCTGACTTAGGTGCAAGAGAACATTTATGGTTTTTATGGACTGTTTAAAGCACTATTTTGCTGGTGGTTTTTTTTTTTGGTGTTTGTTTTTTTTTTTCACAATATATAGTCTACCATGGAAGCTTCAATGCATATTGTAAATTTGTAAAATCATAAGGATTTGTATGGAGATTGTGCACATTCACCCAAGACTGCCAATAAGATTTGTGCATGCTCTTACCTTGATAAATTGAGACTGCCATCTTCTGGAAGTAGACGAAGTG